TTTTCACAAATGTAGGACACATATCGACCATTAGAGTAGCATACAGAGTAGTTTCATTGCAGTAAAATCCTCTGTGCTCTGCCTATTCATCCCTCCCTTACTCTCTAACTCCTGGCAACCACTTTTTACTGTCACCATAGTATTGACCTTTCCAGAATGTCATATTGTTGGAAACATTCAGTATGTAGCGTTTTCAGATTGATTTCTTTCACTTAGTAATATGCGTTTAAGTTTCCTTTCATGGCTATATAGCTCATTTCTTTTTAGCACTGAGTAATATTCTATTGTCTGGATGTACCACAGTTCATTTATCCATTCACCTACTGAAGGACAATTGTGGTTGCTTCCAAGTTTTGACACTTATGAATAAAGCTGCTATAAATATCCATGTGCACGTTTTTGTGTGGATATGTTTTCAGCTCCTTTGGGTAAATATCAAGGAGTGTGATTGCTGGATCATATGGTAAGAGTATGTTTAGTTTTTTTAAGAAATGGCCAGACGGTCTTCCAGAGTGGCTGTACCATTTTGCATTCCTACCAGTAATGAATGAAAGTTCCTGTTGTTCCACATCCTCACCCATATTTGGTATTGTCAGTGTGTTGGATGTTTGCCATTCTCATAGGTGTGTAGCGGTAGCTCATGGTTGTTTTATTTTTTTTATTGTTGTTTTTAATTTGCAATTCCCCAAGGACTGAAAGCACCTTTGAAGACGAGGTTGGGATGAGGTTATAAGGAAAATCAGTACTACCAAAAAATTAGTGAGCAACGTTGTGGCATTTAGTCCTCTTTTGAGATGCTGTGGGGAAACAGTATACATTTAGTGCTTCTCCTCTTTAGCTGGTTGTGTCTGTTTTCAGACAATAAGTCTTCCAGAGAAGCGGTTAAAGATGGGGTGGGGTGGGGTGTGGTGTGGAAGACAAGTGCTGAGGATTCCTCCGAGGCCTGGGAAGGAAGTTGCTTCCCAAGTTTGAGGCAATGCCTCAAAGTACCCCACTGGCACTGACAGAGAAGTAAGCCTTCCAGGAAGTTCCAGCAGCCCCACTGGGCAGCCAGTGGGAGAGTCAGTTCCCGACAGTGGAAATCAGCCAGACTGACCAAAGCACTTGACGGGCAGCTGTATTTAATGTGGCTGTGGGGGTGGGGGTGGCATCAACAGGCAGTCTCTGGCTGTGGCTGCATGGAGACATATGATTGTCACCTCAGTCAGAACATTGCATGTGGCCCTCAAAGCACCATAGTACCTCTCGGACCTGACCTCCTACATCCCCTCTCCCTCATTTACTCCCCTGCAGCCACACTGGCCTCACTATTCCTCAAACACACCAGCAATGGTGCCACCACAGGGCCTTTGCACTTTCTGTTTCCTGACTCAGACCACTCTCCAGATAGCTGCATGACTCTCCCTCACTTCTTCATATATTTCCTCAAATGTCACCTTTGTAGTAAAGCCTTCCCTGGCCATCCTATGAATACTGCCCACTCTGGATCCCCTTTACCCTGCTGTACTTTCTCTCCGCTTCCCCCCGCCCCGCCCCATGGCTGTTAGCATCTTCTAACATACTGGATAATTTATTTCTTATGCTTATTGCCTCTCAGCCCCACTGGAATGTCAGCTCCACAAGGGCAAGGATCTTTGTTTTGTTCATGGTGTTTTTTAAATCTTCAGTAGCTAAATCATGTCTGGCGTAGAATGGAGACTCAATACTTGTTGAATGAATGATTTACCCTTTACTGTATCCCTAGCATGCAGAACAGTATCTGGCATACAGTAGGGGTTCCACAGATGCCTGATGAATGAATTGGAGAAATAGTGGTAACCTGGTGAGGATGTAGCTTTCCAAGTTGTTGGATACTTTCTCTCTCTGCTTGATGCTACAAACATGGAGATTAAGAGGCCCCAGTGTGGGAGTGGAGGGGAGCATCCCCCGGCTGAGGAAGCAACGTCAGAAGCGAAAGGCCTACCTGTATATTTCTGCCACCAAGCTCAGCCCCACACAGTAGTCCCAATCACCCAAATAAGTCACTTCTCTCTCAAAAGGCAGAGAAGCTGCTTCTTGAGTCTGCTGCCACACATTCCTGGTTCAGTGTCTGGACAGTTTTTTAACAGAGGTTGCACCCTGCCAGGGAAACTTCCGGAGACTTGGCAGAAGAGGCAGATGCTTTTTCACCCACATCTTGCTCAGACCCTGTGATGTGGAAGAAGCCAGTCTGGACAAATTGTACGGGTCACGGTCCCCAGCTTGTGAATGGTCTGTGGAGAGTTCATGGGCTCACAGAAGCTGTCATTGCAGTAACCACTGCCTAAGGGGCAACACTGGCAGCAAGCACAGCAGCCGAGAAAACTGCACAGATTCAAAGGGTATTTGTACACAATGAACAAGGGGAAGATTGGGAAAGCTTCCTGATATTGTCTACGCTTCCAGGAATGTAAGCAGCCCTGTCCTCAAACTGAGGGATCAGGAGGGAACCTCTCAGGGGAAGCATGTAAAGCCCCGATGATCTGCCCTGGGGGGACCAGGCGCTCTGCCGAGGGCTAGGCCTTCTGGACACAGGGCCGTATTCAAGAACTTCAGGCCCCATTTCCAAAGGCAGGCTCGGGAGAAACATTAACTCCAGGAAATCGGATCTGGCGAAAGATCTGTTTTAAGTGTCATGGCGCACAGAGGAGATGGAGGGATTTGTCTGAAACTGCCAGGTTATGCCACGTTGCAGGGCAGACACATGCGACCAGGGCCATTCCCCGAGGAGCTTTCTGTCTTTCTCAAGGGCATTACCAAGATGGATTTATTACGATTTGGAGAAAGGAGGCGGCCTTCTTGACTGGGTGAAGCACATAACAGCATAGGAAAGTGATTTCTGGGTGTGCCAAATTGGGAACCTCTAGAACTCCCGACCCTTCCCAAGATTTTTAAAAAATATTTATTTATTTTTGGCTCACGCCAGGTCTTTAGTTGCAGCACGTGGGATCTTTTTAAATAAAGTTATTTATTTATTTTTATTTTTGGCCACGTTAGGTCTTTGTTGCTGCGCGCGGGGTCTACTCTTCGTTGCGGTGTGTGGGCTTCTCATTGGGTGGCTTCTCTTGCTGCAGAGCACGGGCTCTAGGCGCGTGGGCTTCAGTAGTTGTGGCACGCGGGCTTCAGTAGTTGTGGCACGCGGGCTTCTGTAGTTGTGGCTCGCGGGCTTCTGTAGTTGTGGCTCGCGGGCTCTAGAGCGCGGGCTCAGTAGTTGTGGCACACGGGCTTAGTTGCTCCGCGGTATGTGGGATCTTCCTGGAGCAGGGCTCGAACCCGTGTCCCCTGCATTGGCAAGCAGATTCTTAACCACTGCACCACCAGGGAAGCCCCACGTGGGATCTTTTAGTTGTAGCATGCGGGCTTCTTAGTTGCTGCACTCATGTGGGATCTAGTTCCCTGACCATGGATCCAACGTGGGCCCCCTACACTGGGAGCGTGGAGTCTTATCCACTGGACCACCAGGGAAGTCCCCTAACCCTTCCCAAGATTAAAAATACAACTCAGCCTGGAATTCCAGGGCAGCATGTGCAATCACAATGATGACTCGAGAACGAGCAGCTGGGGGTGGGGGTTTGTTCTCTGGTATCTGCCTTAACAACCCTGTTTGGCTAATCTTGAAAACAGAATTCTGGAATTAAGCAGGGACGATTAAAAAAAAAAGTAAATCAGTCTGTGTAAGTGTCCCTCATATTGGGGTTACTATACTGGAAGGTTTTCTAATCATCCCTTGCCTTACTGGGCACATTGATCTGGCCAACTCACTGTCTTTCTATACCTGCTCATTTTGGCTCAAAAGGGTAGTCTGCCTCTGCTTGGCAAGGAAAGCAGCTTACCTTTATTATCCTGCTTGAGGGGGAAGTGTTTAAATTCTCCACAGCTGTGCCATGTTCTGAAGCATCAGGAGTTTATACCAGAAGCCTAGATCTAACTCAAATACCATTAATTACATCCATGACTTAGTGACTGGGGATGATTTAGAAACACTTGTGCCTAAAGTTCCAACTTCCCCTGATTTTTTTTTTCTTCCCTTGTTGATTTTGTATCTTAGGCCATTAAACAGGAAAAAGGATTCTCTGGAACCCTTTAATGGAAAAAGGATAACCTTTTTGAGAACCCAGTTACCTGGAGCAACCAGAGAAATTCTACCCGAGATAAACAAAACTTTTTCACCTTCAAAGTTTTGGGACTAAAACGGGGGCCCCGAGATTAACTGACTCCTCCAGAAAGTAGTGCTAACACGTCCCATTGGTGGGGAGAAGCCTCCCTTCCACTTGACTCCTGTCACAGGCTCAAGATATCCTCTGGGCATCTGCTCTGGACCAAAAGTAAAAGCAGAGCCTGCTGTATTCTTGCTCAGAAAGTTGTCCAGAGATGTGGTGTTCCAGAATCCCTAGTCTCTGCTCGGGGACAGTGTTCAGAGCTTCTGGACTCCGATAGTGAGCTCGGGAGCAGATGGATCCTTCCACTTGGTGAGCAGCCCAAGCTGGGTGGTGGGGCTGAAAAAAGGACTGGTTCCCACCTCAATCAGCGCAGCTCCCATCTCCACTCACAGCTCAGCACACAATTTATGATCTCTTGTTTTTTGGGGTTTTTTTTGCGGTACACGGGCCTCTCACTGTGTGGCCTCTCCTGTTGGAGAGCACAGGCTCCGGACGCAGAGGCTCAGCGGCCATGGCTCACGGGCACAGCTGCTCTGTGGCATGTGGGATCTTCCTGGACGGGGGCACGAACCCGTGTTCCCTGCATCGGCAGGCGGACTCTCAACCACTGCGCCACCAGGAAAGCCCAGAACTGGTTTTTATTATATACTAAGTTCTGGTAAATACTGGGTTTGTTTCTAGCCTCCCTTCTGGTCCATCCTGTCCTAGGGCTGCACTGCAAGTGGAGGGCGGAACCATGACCCCCCCGCACCTTCGTGAAGGCAGGCTTTTCACACTGTACGGGATTGGTAACAACCTGGGGGATGGGAGTGTGTCCACAGGTCAGTCCTCCGAGTCGCTGGGGCCCATGTACTGGCAGATGGCATCATAGTGAAGCTCCACCACCTGATTCTCTCTCTGCAGCTGCACAACAGCCCGGGTCTGCCCTCTGTCCCGGTCCAGCAGACGGCCCACCTAGAGTAGGGGGGTGGAGTCAGCAAGGCCAACCCAGACTCAGGGACATTCCCTGAGTGCTCCCGCACCCATTCCCAGGTCTTGGACTCACCCTTCCAGCCCATGGCCCCAGCACCACCATCACCCGGTTGCCCTGGACCTTAGGGACCAGGGTCTCCAGCATGTCTTCCCTCAGGCCTGTGGACAAGGAGAGGGGAGTGAGGCCCACAGCAAGGGTCAGCCCAGTCAGGGTCCTGTCAGAAGGGCCTTTCCTGTATTCTCTGGTGCCACTCTGTGCCTGTTGACAGATGCGAGGCCCCCACATCCATTTCACAGAGGAGGAAACCTAAGGAGCGGTTCCTGGCAATAGTTGTAATAAAGGGAGCATTTATGTATGATGATGATGGGTGGGGGTGCTAACAGATACCATTTATTGTGGGCACGTTGTATGCCCTGCCCTGCACGGGGAGCTTACACACATCCCTACAAGGCACCAGTTATAAGAGGGAGAAATAGGTTATCTCCATGCTAATTTTGCAGAAGAGGAAAGTGGGGCTCAGATATTCACCATAATGGAAGCGTCTAATGATCTGTTAGAGGATGCTGGGCCTTGCAAAAAACCTAACTCTGTCCAACCTCCCGCCTTTGGCCAGGCTCTTGGCCCAAGACAGCCCTCTCAATCAGCCTCCAGGATGATAACGACCCAATGGCCATCCCTCAGACTCACCTTCCAGGACCTGGCCTTCATCTGTCCGACACACACAGGTATCTGGGCTCAGGACATCTTCGATTGTCATCTGGGGAAAGGGCCAGGGGATATGAGAATGTTAGAGAGCTAAGTGGGCCCAGTCCCTGGGGAGGAAGCGGACCCAGGTGCGGGGCTCCCACCTTGGTGTTGTAATACTGGCCACCCTTGTGCAGCTTGTCCACAAACCGCACACGTAGGTCCCTGTGCAGCCAGTGCTGACTCCTGGGAGCTGCTTTCTCACTCTTGGCTGCAGGCTCATCCTGTCTGTGGAGCGGGGCCAACACCAGGCTTAGTTCTTTATCAGAGGCACATTCTGGTCATCCCACCTTTGCCGATGTCTTAAAACCCACTCATAATGCCATTCCTACTTCCTTCTAGGCACGTGCCTTGCCCTAGAAGCCTTCTCTGACTGCTGGAGCCTCCCCACAGCCCTGACCCCTACCTCCATCTGAGATGCTCAGGGTCACACCGGTCTGGATGGTGTTTCCGCTTCCTCGCTGAGTCCTCCTGCCGGACGTGGAGGTCCTGATCCTGAAGGGCCTTCCATGACGAGGTTGTTCCATTCTGTTGCCTTGGGGAAGTTTTGCTCACCTGGCCTGTTCAAGGGGGTGTGGGGAGAACCAGGAAACAACCTCAATGTCTCCCTCTCTTCCCTTCCAGGCCACACCTCAGCCTCAGGCCACCTCCCAACTGCCAAAGTGCCCGTCTCACCAAGCCTTTGTCTGGGCTATTAGAATGCTCTCCCCTTCCTTTCAACTGTCTCAGCCTTCTTCAGGAAGCCTTGCTCAACCACCCCAGCCCATCCTGTCAGTGCTTACCTGAGTCAGCTGCCTAGTGCGGGCTAGGGACTCCTGGAGGGCTGTCGGCTCCCATCTCCTATGTGCCAAACGCATCCATCCTACTGACGTGCCTAGAATGCCTTCCTCCCCATCATGCCCTACTGCTAGCTGCTGTCAGTCCCTAGCAAAAGAGAGGTTCACCACCCCAAAGAGACAAAGACATCCCGATGGTAGGAACTGGTTTCCACACTTGTTCCTTCTTCCTCAGAAAGAGGCTAAAGACCCAAGGGTACTAGGTCAACCTCTCTTCAGTCAAACTGAATAAACCACTACGTTCATTCTCACCTCTTAACTCTGACCAGAAGTCACTCTTGCCAGGCAGACCACTGTCCTGCCCCTCTGCAGATTTAACCCCCCGCCCCAGGAATACTTCTCCAACTCCCCCAGCTAGGACCATGGCCCGAGCATTGTCAGGGTCGAGGCCTTCCACCTAAAGTGTTGGGGGGGAAGAAGTGAGTGGACCTGACCCACGTTCCTAGGACCACGCTGTCCACCCTTACTTCTAATAGGCCTGACCCCTGTGCCTCTCCCGGCAGACTGTGGGGCTTGGATACACTTTAAGTATGTAATTCTCAGGGACTTGTGGCATATGGCATTCTCTCCCTTTTAGCTGAAAACTGAGGCTCAGAAAGGCCCAGCAAGTAGTCCTGAGTTATTGAGTGAGGCGGCAGGCCAGGCAGTCCTGAAAGACAAGGACTTCCAGCCTTTATACCCCAAACCCAATTCTGCCTCCCTCTGACCCTCAGGTCAATTTTTCCTGCTGCCTGTCTTGGGCTCCAGGCACATCTTCGTTCCTTACCTTCCCATAGAGGCCTCGGTGAGGGCCAGAAAGAACCACCACAGCTCCTCCAGGCACCAGTCCTTGAGGCTGGTCTTCCTTATCCTTCTCTTGCTCCTCATCTGGCCTCAGCAGGTGGTGGGGGCCGGTGGGGGCCAGGGCCTGGAACTCAGTCAGGTTGGCGCCCAGCCCTAACCCTTTGGGCCTCAGTGAGTTGACACGGGGCTTCACCACTCTGCAGGGAACACAGAATATGGGCTTGTTGGGGGGATGCATCGGTCTTCAGCACTCCGTTCCCCACCCCTACCCCCAACCACCACTCAAATCCCAACCTATCAATATGTTTGAGAGTATCCTTCCCAATCTCATATTAGGGACTATTTCTGACCTGCAGAAATGGCAATTTTATTTGGTTCAACCTAATAACCTACGGTTATAACACCTACGGTGTATAACATCTATGACAGTATTTACAGTGCGATATGAGGCAGATCCCAATAACCAAATATACTAATTTTTCTACAGGGGAAACCATGACTATTCATACCAAGCAAGAGAAACAGACTGTAAAAAGCTCAATGTCAATTCAGTTCACATTTGGCTGCCAAATAGTTTATGAAAAATAATGTTTGGTTTTCAGAATTCTTTAGAGTTTGGAACTGTGGAGAACGGATTGTAATCTGTATGATCATGATAATAGCAAGTGTTTAGCCTATGCTTATCTGGGGCCAGGGCCTACTGTAAGTGCTTTATGTGTATCATTTCACTTAACTCTCACAACAGCCCTGGGAAGTCAGTACTGTTATTATCCCCATTTTTCAGATGAGGAAGCTGATGCCCGGAGAGGCAATCTTTACATAATAGGATCTCTTAATGGAGTTTCAAAGGGCAAATAGGAGGCTTAAAGAGTAGTGGAAGGGGCTACTGAAATACATAGGGTGGTAATGTGCCCTCTCCCTGCCTGGATGGTTCTAGGTGGGCGGTAACCATGGGGGTCTGTTCCCTGGCCCGTCTGCTGTCCCCTGCCCCTACCCTAGAAACTCACTGATTGAAGGTACGGCCGATGCCCTCGCCAGGTTTCCAGCCCATGCCCCGCAGCATGGCCAGTCCATAGGCCTCTACAGGGACTGCATCATAATCAGCCTCCTCCGGCACCTATGGGTTTAGGCAGAGGAAGGATGGTCAGGCTTGGCTTACAGTGGGCCCTCTGAAGTGTACTTGCTATCATCCACTGGGTGACCCTCGAGACTTCTTTTCCAGTCAGCTCAAGGGTGAATTTTTATTTCCTCTTGCCATCCCTCACTTGATTCCTCCATGTTCAGTCCTTGGACAAATCTTTATAAAGCACCTATTCTGTGCCAGCTACCGTTCTAGGTGCTGGGGATAAAACAGTGAACAAAACAGACAAAAACTCCTGCCCTTTGTGTGGCTTACATTCTAGTTGTGGAGACAGAATAAATAAAATTCATAAAACATGATATGCCAGGTAGTGATAAGTCATATGAAGAAAAATAAATCAGGTTAAGGGGATGCAGAGGGCTGAAGAAAGGAGTGTCACTGAGTTCATATTTGAGCAGAGACCAGAAGGAGAGACAGAGGGAACCCTGAAGATAAGAGTCTTCCAGAGAGAACAGTAAGAGCAAAGGCCCTGAGGCAGGACAAGGTCTGCTATGTGTGGAGAGCACTGTAAAAGTCAATCTGACTGAAACAGATGTGGAGGCAAAGACGGGTGATAAGGGATTAATCAGGAGAGCTGGGCAGGAGCCACGATAGGGTGGCAGCCACAAGGGGACCAGTGAGGAAGTTACTGCAATAGTCCAGATGAGAAATGCTGGTAGCTCAGACCAGAGAAGTGGTAGTGGTAATGGTGAGAAGTGGTCAGATTCTGGTTGTATTTTGGAGAGGAAGGATGGGTGGAACTGTGATCAACTGAGATGCAGAAGGCTCTGAGAAGAGGGAAAATTACAGAAAGGAGGCCAAAGCTGGAACAGGATGGAGAGTGAAGTGAAGGTCTTTTTAAGATGAAAGATACCAGAGGATGTCTGAAGGCTGATGAGAACAGTTCAGTCGAAAGAGTCTCTCTGGTTTGGGGCTATAGGAGGACTAGGACCCAAACAAACATTGCCAAAAAATTGTGAAGGAAGAGGTGAAAAGTAGGGTCCATGGGTATGAAAGACAGACTTGGTTACTTCTGTGGACACACCCCTCACCTCTCCTGTTATCACCTCCCATCATCACTCCCTCAATTCTTTATATTCGCTCTAGACACACCACAGATTGTCACTGATGGACACACACCACACCGATTTTCTGCCACCATGCCTTTGTCTGGGTGGTTGCTGCCATTAGGAGCACTCACCCTCCTCTTCCCTCTCACTAAACCCTACCTGTCTTCCCGGCCTCACTCCTACCACTCTGATCTGAGTCTCCATCACCTCTAGCCTGAACTGCTGCTCTCCTTGCCTCCACCTCTGCTTACTAGTCTGCTCTGCTCGTAGCAGCCAGAGAGAGCCTGTCAAATCATAAGTCTTATCCCTTCTCTGCTCAGAGCCCTCCCATGGCTCTCATCCCACTCAGAGTAAAAGCCAAAGTCCTCACCATGGCCCACTTCTGACCTCACCTACTACTCTTCCCTGTCACTCATTCCACTCCAGCTACGTTGGTCTCCTTGATGTTCCTCAAACACTCTAGGCAGAGTCTACCCTCAGGATCTTTATATTTCCTGTTCCCTTTGCTCATCTCCTTCAGATAATCCCAGAATCCAAGTATCTTTTCACACCTCAATATCTGGATTCATTTGTTAATGCTTCCAAAAAGGATGGAAGGAGGCAGGGCGAGGCAGCAGGCCTTTAATACACACACAGACTTTGCCTGCTGTGTGCAGGGACGCAAGTCCTGGCGGACAGGGCAGTGAGAGACTGGAAAAGGAGGGAGGCCAGGGGCCAGCTCACTGTCTCAGCCCGGGGTTCGCTGTCTGCCCCTTCCCCGTTGGGGGTGCATCCTTTCTGGATCATGGGGATAGCGAGCGTGGGGTCGACACCCGCATTCTCTCTCTCTTCCAGAGACTTCGTGGATTCTAAAGAAGAATGGGAGGGAGCAATGAGGTTCCACCCTATCCTTCCATTTTCCTCCCCTTCTTCCTTCACTAGGGCAAGGCAAAGGAGGGAGCACTCACCCTCAATGAGCTCCTTCACAGCCTGGGACAGCATCCCATCCACCAAGACCTCAGTATGTGTGGATGGCCCAGGGGCCTGGGTCGGTGGCTGCCTGAGATGGTCATTCTGGATCAAAGGGATGACAAGTTCCTTGGGGGCTTCTGAGGGCTGCACACTGATGTGGACACAGAGGGGTGAAGTTGGGAGAGTAGCACAATCAGTGAGTTCTGAGCCACAACCCTTCATTCAGAAGAAACACAAGAGCCAAACACACCCCCAGCCCCATTGACTACAGCCTCCCTTCTCCTGTCTGGCTCTCCTGTTATATCTCTGGTGGTGATTTCTTTGGATTCTCTCCCCCACCCCTAACTCTTAAATGTCAGTGCCTTCGAGGAATCAGTCCTCAGTTCTGGACCCTCTGTTCATCCCAAGACCCACTTCCGTGGCTTCCACTATGACCTAAAAATCACCATCTTCAGCCCAGACTCTCTCCCCAGCTCCGGGCTCCACACCAGCCTCCTGGATGGTTGATTCTCTTCTGAAAGTCCCTCCCTCAGACTTTCCTTTCTGAATTAAGCTGACGATCGCCTCCCCCAACCTGAATCTGCCACTCCATCCTGCTCCCCGTATGGGAGAAAACCCAACACTTCACCTGGGACACTAGGAGTCCTGTCATTCTCCCCTCCTTTCCTTCTTTCAGAACGCACGCTCCTCAGGGTCCCCAAGTCCTAAAGACACACCCTCTCAGGAATACATCCTCTCCTCTCAAACCCCTCGGCCAACAGGTCCAATTTCCCCACCTCCCCTACTAACTCCCGCCTTCTGACCTCCACGGATCTTCTCCGGCTGTGCTTCAGACTTCCCAGGCCACTGTCGCCAAGAAAATCAACTCAAGATTCCACCCTCCCGCAGGCACCCACCGCACCGCTTTCCAAGGGATGAAACACCCAGCGCTTCACCTCTGCAGCTCCCTCCGTTTCTCGGTCTTCAAGAAATCCTTCTCCGGAGCCGCATCTCCCGCCAGCCACCTCCGGGCGGACGTGCGATTGAAGGTGAATGAAATTGGGGCACTGGAGGCTCCCGCAGGCCACAAAACACCATCTTTAGCGTCCGCCATCTTCCCCTCGTCTCAGGCCGGCGCGCTGCTTGCTGGGAAGTTTAGTTTGCGCTCGCTTTGCTGGGGCTTGACCACCAGCGCTACAACTACCTTTCCCAGGAAACACTGTGGCACCGCCAGGCGAAGGCGGATAGGGGCAGTAGGAAGTAATTGCCGCTCTTTTTACTTCACAAGAGCGCGTGGCGCCAAGCGTACAGGGAAATGTAGTTCTTGGGGAAGGTAGGCGCGGTAGAAGGTGGCTTCCTCCTTGCTAAGTCGTCACTCCTTCGTGTAGGCGTTTCTTGGTCGCCTACAGTGTGCACGTTACTATGCCCTACTATGCCTACAGTGTGCATGTTACTATGCCTACAGTGTGCACGTTCATTAAGAAAAAAATCTGGGCTTCCCTTGTGGTGCAGTGGTTAAGAATCTGCCTGCCAACGCAAGAGACACGGGTTCGAGCCCTGGTCCGGGAAGATTCCACAGGCCGCGGAGCAACTAAGCCTGTGCACCACAGCTACTGAGTTTGTGCTCTACAGCCCGCGAGACACAACTACGGAGCCCACTCACCTAGAGCCCATGCTCCCAACAAGAGAAGCCACCACAATGAGAAGCCCACTTACCACAACGAAGAGTAGCCACCCCCCACCCCGCTCGCAACAGCCAGAGAAAAGCCCGCGTGCAGCAACGAAGACCCAACGCAGCCAAAAATAAATAAATAAAATTAAATAGATTTATTTAAAAAAAAAAAATCGGTGAGTGCCAGTTGTGTACAATAATAAATAATAGACATGTAAGTGGTACCTACAAGATGACAGATTTAATAGTGGACAAACTAGATTCAAATACAGTTGACCTTTAGATAACACGGGTTTGAACTGCGAGGGTCCACTTATACGTGGATATTTTTCACTAAATAACCTACTACAGTACTACATGATGCAAGATTGGTTGAATACGAGGATGCAGAACATGGAGAGCAGACTGTAAAATTATACGGGGATTTTAGGGACTTCCCTGGTGGCCTAGTGGTTAAGAATCACCTGGGTGTGTGTGTGGTGTGATGAATCGGGAGATTGGGAATGACATATATACACTAATATGTATAAAATGGATAATAAGAACCTGCTGTATAAAAAAATATAAATCAAAAAAGAAAAAGAATCCACCTGCCAATGCAGGGGACACGGGTTCGAGCCCTGGTCTGGGAAGACCCCACATGCTGCGGAGCAACTAAGCCCAAGTGCCGCAACTACTGAGCCTGCACTCTAGAGCCCGCGAGCCACAACTACAGAGCCCACTGAAGCCTGCGTGCCTAGAGCCGGTGCCTTGCAACAAGAGAAGCCACCGTAATGAGAAGCACATGCACTGCAACGAAGAGTAGCCCCCACTGGCCGCAACTAGAGAAAGCCTGTGCACAGCAACGAAGACCCAACACAGCCAAAAAAAAAGTTATATAGGGATTTTTGACTGCGCTGGGTCAGTGCCCCTAATGCCTACATTGTTCAAGGGTCAACTATATTAATAAAACAGTCTGGCCTCCTCTCTAGAGGCTCCAAGTCTAGTGGGGAACAATGACACTCAAAACGGATTTAAAAAAAAAAAGTTCCTACCAACTTTAAGTATGTTGTGAGAGCCAGGTCCTAAGCCCTCAGAAGATTAATGAGACAGACTCCTCTGAGTAGGACCTTAAGAGTTTGTGAAGTAGAAGAGTGATACTTAAACAAATAGTCACAAGAAAGAATACTACAAATCTGCTAAAAATTCATCCCAAGGAAATCATCCAAGATGTGCAAAAGTATTTTTATATGAGATTCATCAGAGTGTTATTTATTGTAACAAAAGCTTGAAGACCACTTAAATGAACAACAAAAGGGGATGGGCTAAATGAATTATAGCACATGGTTTGGGTGGAATGAATATACTAGAGCCTTTAAATGTGAAGCTATACATATAATTAAATGAAATGGGGACATAGTCACAATGTTTGGAAAGTAGAATAGTATGGTGGGTCAGAGGTTGCTCTTGAAAACAGGAAGCCCAATATTCAATCAATTTTGTGGCCATGTTTTGAGGCTTACAAGCCCTGGGCATCCTGGGATGGGCTCTGGTATCTCAAGGGAGAAGCCATTTTGGTTTTCAAAATATACAACAACAAAAAAAACTTTAAATTTTTATTTTGAAATACTTTTAGACTAAAAGAAATGTTGAAAAAATAGTACAGAGAGTCCCTGTATATCTAGATCCCCCTAAACATTTTATATAACAATAGTATAATTATCATAATCAGGAAATTAACATTGATGCAATACAATTAACTAAATGATAATTTTCTGTTCCAGGATTCAATCTGGGATCATACTTTGCATATAATGCTAATGCCTTTTTAAAATATTTTATTTTATTTTATTTATTTTTGGCTGCGTTGGGTCTTTGTTGCTATGCATGGGCTTTTCTCTGGTTGTGGCGAGTGGGGGCTACTCTTCGTTGAGGTGCGCAGGCTTCTCTTGTTGTGGAGCACGGGCTCTTGGCGTGTGGGCTTCAGTAGTTGTGGCACGCAGGCTCAGTAGTTGTGGCGCATGGGCTTAGCTGCTCCGTGGCATGTGGGATCCTGGGCCAGGGATCAAACCCGTGTCCCCTGCATTGGCAGGACGACTCTTAACCACTGCGCCACCAGGGAAGCCCCGGTAATGCCTTTTTAAGTCTCCTCCAATCTGTGAAAATTCCTGTTCTTTCCTTGTCTTTCATGACGTTAACATTTTTGAAAAGTACAGTTCTGTTATTTTGTAGAATGTCCCTCAGTTTGGGCTTCTCTGATGAGTTCTCACAATTAGGCTGAGGTTATGGGTTCCTGGCAAGAATGACACAAAGGTGATGTGCCCTTCTCATCACATCATATCAGAGGGTTCACAATATTATATCTTATTACTAATGATGTGAACATTGCCTGGGAGGTGAACTGTCCATGGCTGAAGTGATACCCATTTCCTGAAGCAGCCACCTGAGATAGTGTGCACAATACAGGCTTACACAGGCTAGGGCCAGAGGTCCCCGAGGGTCTTGCCTTCTGGGTTGGTTCACACCTGGTCTCTGACTCACTCCTGACATGTGCCACAGAGCTCATGCCAAGTCCTGATGCAAAACTTTGTGGTGAAAATGTAACGGGAGAAAAGACACTTTTTTTCCTATCTTTCCTTCATTCTGAAAACAAAATCAGGAATTTTTTTCTATACAAGCATTGAGAAAAGTATTTGCTTGCCATGCAATGAAGGAAGAATATGAAAGTTTTGCAAATTCAACCATTTATTCTTTTGTTCATTGAATAAACATTAATTGAGCACCTACTGTTACATGCCCTTCCTTCAAGGTACTCATATAGGATTATGGGGAAAACCCATGGTTACGAGTGTGGTTATGGCTGCAGACAAACAGGGCTGTGGGGAGGGGTGGCTGAGAAGAGAGAAGGGGATTAGTTGTACATGATACCACTTCTAAGAGGGGCTGAAGATTTAAAAAGCTTTCTAAAAGATGGCAGGAAGTGAAGCTGGAGTGATGTGCAGTGGCTTGGTCATGGGTAGCGAGGAATTCAAGGCTTAGGACTTTCTGCTGCATGTGATGAGAGAGTCATGAGAAGGTTATGTGACATGACAAAATTCGTGTTTTAAAAAAGTAATGTAGGGGGACTTTCCTGGTGGCACAGTGGTTAAGAATCCGCCTGCCAGTGCAGGGGACACGGGTTCGAACCCTGGTCTGGGAAGATCCCACTGCCTCAGAGCAACTAAGCCCGTGCACCACAACTACTGAGCCTGTGCTCTAGAGCATGCGAGCCACAACTACTGAGCCCACGTGCCACAACTACTGAAGCCTGCGCGCCTAGAGCCCGTGCTCCACAACAAGATAAGCCACTGCAGTGAGAAGCTTACATACCGCAACGAAGAATAGGCCCCACTCGCCACAACTAGAGAAAGCCCACGTGCAGCAATGAAGACCCAATGCAGCTAAAATAAATTTAAAAAAAAAGTAATATAGGGACTTCCCTGATACTCCAGTGGTTAAGACTCTGGCTTACACTGCAGGGGACGTGGGTTCGATCCCTGGTCGGGGAGATCCCACATGCCATGCAGTGTGGCCAAAAATTTAAATAAATAAATAAAAATAAAAATGTAATGTGTATCAAAGGTATAGGGACAATGTACTCAATACACAAAGAACTCCTGTAGTTCAATAACTATAAAAGGGAAGCAACCCTCAACTGAAAAATGGGCAGTGGACATAACTAGGTGGTTCACGAAATGGGAAATACAAATAGCCACGAAGCACATGTAAAGATTCTCAACCTCACTAATACTCAAAGCAATGCAAATAAATAAATAATAAAATGTTGTTCTTCATTTAACTCATTGGTAAAGACCAAAAGTAAAAATGACAAATACTTCTGTGGTAAGTTCAGAAGTATTAGAAGCATAGAGCCAATTGCCCAACTAAGCACTCATTTAGTCCTCCAAAGGATTCTGTGATGTAGGAACTATTTTAAAAATCCATTTTACATATAAGAGAACTGCAGCACAGAGAGGGTAACTGAGTTGGCCAAGATCACAAAATAGTAAGTACTATGGATGATGCCCAGAGTTACTAAACATGGAAGAAAATGGGCACGTTCATACACTGCTGATAAGGGCACAAATTGATTCAACATTTATCAGGGGCAGTATAATAATATATATGCCTTTCCTAACCCAATGACTCCATTTCTAAGACTAGATCTGAAGGAAACAATGGAAAATTGGGGCAGGATGTTCTGTATGCTAATGAGTGAATGTATGTCATACTTTTACTAAAAAGGTTTAAAAATTCTTCATGGCTTGACAAGGAACAATAGCTACAATATTTCATTAAATGGAGAAAGCAATTTGAGGAATATGTAGGGGATTTCTGGGAAATTAATTACATTCTCTTATTTAACCTGGTGAGAGTCACACAGGTACTGTACTGATTTTACAATTTGTCAAACTGTTCACGTATGTTGTATGCATGTTCTTCTCTATTAG